ATTATATATATATATATGGGAGTATTGTAGGGTTATTGACGGGGATACTGGGGGTTTAGCTCGTTCCTATGCGCCCCCTGTCGCATTTCTCCTTGAGTGTCTCCTGGTTCCACTCTCCAATTCTGGTTTCTCTGTGCACTGACTGTTTCTTCATGAGGTTTTGCGGGTGTCCTTCCCTTTTTGTCTGCAACTATTGCACGAAACCCTCTTGAGGTACTCTGTTTCTATTACATACTATGCATGGAGGCAGCCTTGCACGACTCGATATACCTTGTGACCTACGCAGTTACAGTACATTGGGTCCCAGGTGGTGCAAGACTTTTTTTTGTATCGCATGTACTGCAGAAACTCTCCGGGCTTACTGGCCGGCGGCGGCCCATCTGAACCTCATAGTCAGACCTCTTTAATGGACTTGTCTATGACATGGTCTCCACAAGTACACAACGTGGTTGAATGTTTACACCAAAGACGGAACATAACACCCTCTAAATCCTGCCAACAACACAGCTTAAAGCCAAACCCTGCACCATGACATACCAGCGAAACAACCTGCTGCACGCAGCCAATCCAGCCAAGCGACTCCTTGCTGACTCCGTGGAGCTTGAAGGCCTTCAAGGGTTTAGGGTTTAGGGTTAGGGTTTAAGGGCCAGTCGGCCTTTCTTGGTGCTGTTAGACGTAGGCGGGATTTCTCAAGAAGTTACGGTGCCATGAAGCCCTGCTTGGGGGATTCGAAGAGCCTTATGGGCGTTGTGTCAGGAACTATATTGGATCAAAGCTCTTTCTTGAACCAAATGCTGTCTGGTTCTGGAAGGACCCCCAATGTAACCCTCTAACCTGAACATAACCCTATAACCCTATAACCCCAAGATAACTAACATAACCGGCCTTGATGGCGAACTTACCGGCCCGGTTTTTTCCCCTGGCTAAGAGCACCGAGCCGTTGTAGCCGGTGCCAAGTGCCTGCAGCGACCAGTCAGCCAGGAATTAAGGCTTCAGGGCTTGGGGCTTAAGGGTGCGTGGTGAGTAGCTTCAGGGTTTAGGATTTCGGGACAAAGTTTATAGTTCAGGATTTGAAGGTTGAGGGAGCCCTTTCTTTGACAGCCTAGCTTTAACTCATGATTCGATATATCTATCCCTAGGCTAGACCCTGCCATACACTCAAAGGATGACCCTAAACCCCAAGCCCAAAACTGGCAGTAAACTTTACACAGAAAACCCTAAAGATTCATCCCCAAACCCTAACTTTGCACGCCTTCTTCTCCACAAAATAGTCATCCTCAAGCCGCGTCGGAAGCCGATGGTATCGTCCAACCACGGAGAGGTGGCCCACCCTATCTTCGGCCCTTGTCCTCCCGCCGATTAGGGTCTAGGGTAGGGGATTTAGGGTTTCTTCTGCCCGTTATCCTGCACATAGCAGCTGAAAAAGGTGTTGAGGCTTAAGGCTTAGGTTTCACTTTAGAACCCAGTATACACTAATCTTTAAAGCACCTTTGACCATTGGAGACCCCACATTTCTGTGGGAACAGGCACCAACTTTTCATCACACAACGAATCATGCATGAAGAGATAGGGAGGGCAAGTCTGGCCTAATCGCAAGCACTTTCAGAATAGAAGTTTCAAGTGTTCGTGAAGACAAGCATGTCATGTGATACTCAGGCTTCAATATGTTACGCCCAAATATAACCCTATACAATCCATCCCTACATAATATAGTAGTTTCCATTGTCTTTTTCATTTTCCCAATATAACCCCAATATAACCATATGTAATCCCTAACGCAATGACGATGCTAACTGCGCCGCTTGTCGGCCTCACCGCATCCAGTGAGTTGGAAGAGGCTGTGAGACCCATGTTGCTTGGGGCCGTGGCAAGCACGTCACTTAGGATGTCCCAGCTTTGAAGCGTGTGGTGCTGTAGGTTGCAGGAGTGTTGGTTGCTGTCAGCTGAACCTTCCGCATGGGAGCTTGAGATGCTAAAAGTGCTGGCAGGCTGTGCATGTTTGTTTAGTTTGACTGTGGATGCTATCATTATGCCTTGAGCGAGATGATGCACAAAAGCCAGAGAGCAGGCGACACATTCACACATCACCAAAGAATATCGTGTACAGAGCTAATGCGTTGAATAGAGTTTTTGAAGGTAATGCCACTTTCTTTGCAAGACATTGCTGCGGACTTGCCCGACCCATCTCATGCGAAGCTGAAACCTGGCAAGTCTAAATCCCCAAATACAACTGTATGTTGAACGCCTAAGGCTTGGTGTTCACGGCTGCGGCTACACTCCTGAGGCCAAACACCCTACCTGGACCCTGGATTTCCCATTTTTGAGGATAGCTTTCCAAACGGAAGGTCATCCAGGTTCCAGGTAAGCCTTACACTTTTAACCCTACACCCCTTAGCCCAAACTTCAATTCAACCCATAACCCTTAGAGATGGTAAGCTAGCCTCAGTCAAAGCTGGAGGGGCCGGGCGCTAAATCCCACCATTTCCTTAAGGCCCACTACCCCCTCCACATGCCAGAAAATCTTGCGCCTGGAAAGGGGGGGGAAATGGGCAGCTTGTCGAAAGCTGGTCGATGTGCTCATGAAGTAGGGGTTAATTAAAGGTTTGCCTGCCGAAGCCCCCAGAAACACATAGCCCAGCGTGCAACCTCTTTCATGGCTCATTGCTGCATTCAAGCTGCTTTTCCTTTTTTCGGGCTATCACATTTTCCACCTTGTTACGTTTTTTTGCTTTGCGTTGTTTTTGTCTTGCCATTCAACCTAAACCCTCAACCCTCGAAAACACAAGCCCTAAACCCTAAGTCCCAAACCCTAAACCCCTGAAACCCTAAAACCCCTAAACCCCCAAACCCCTAAACCCCTTAAACCCTTATCCTACATCCTGAGCTGCCTGTTTCAACTCCAGCTCGCTCCGCGTTCCGATGGCGGACTCCAACTCCAGGGCCACCAAAGTCCTCTGCGTCAACACTGACAGGGGCCAGGGTTATGTTAGCTGCTACCCTTTAAAGGGGGATATAGGGGCAATATAGGGATTCTATTGGGATATATAGGGTTATGTTAGGGTTTTGGGTTTAGGGCAAAGTTCAGGGTTTAGGGTTTAGGCTTGGGGTTTAGGCATTTGGGGTTTGGGGTTTAGGGCTGGGCTAGGGTGTAGGGCTTGATTTTGATGATCATGGACCCCACTTTTGGGTGTCCCTGAAAAGCTTTGTAGTATATTGGGGTTTATATGAAGGCCTGTCATGTTTGGAAAGCCCGCAGTGTAAGGTTTGGGGTTCAGGGTTGATCGGTCGGGGTAAAGGTATTATGGTTGAGGGTTGGGGCGGGGTATTACGGTTTAGGATTTCGGGGTTGGGCTATCTGACTGGCTTAGGGTTTGGGGTTTGGTGTCTAGGGTTCGGTGTGCAAAGCATCAGCGGTTGGGATCGGTAGTGTCAATGATCAAGACTGGGTGTCCGATGCTCCACTATTAACCCCTAATTACACAACAAATTTTCAGCCATACGGCGGATACTGAAAATCCTGAGCGGCTCCGGGTACCTCATACCCTGGGCATTATGGTAATGCAGTATACTGAGGTCATGCAGGGTTATAATATCCCTAAACCTTCAACCCTAGCCAAGCTCACTTCCAGGGACGCCCATAGGATAGGATTGGGTTTAAGGCTTAGGGTCCAAAACCCTAAACTCTAAACCCTAAACCCTAAAAATTAGGGGCAAGGATGATTTGTTAGTCCATCTACCTAGGTATTAGGGTAGGGGATGCTAAAATTCTCGGGATTTTAGTCCAGAACCCTAAAACCCCATCCCCTAAACATGTATTGTTGGAGTTAAAATATTAATAGTTGTAGGAGTAGGAGGAGTAGGAGGAGTAGTAGGAGATAGTAGGAGGAGGAGAAATAGGAGTGATAGGAGGGTTATTTGAGAGGCTCCCTCCTGATGGCAGGCTCTTCCTCCGGCAGCTGGGCCACCTTTCACTACTGATCAGAGATTCCTAAATTCGCAATAAGGGAGCAGAGTTTAGGTTGTGGATGTAGGTTTTTCAGCCGGTAGACAACGCCTCTATGGGCTTTTGTGCTACTTCGTACCACGGGGCTTGGGATCCTGTTGCAAGGCTCCGGGGAGCTTTGGGTTTGGGGGCTTGGGAGGGGTTTTGGTATCAGGGCTTGGAGCTTGAGGCTAGGAGTTTCAGGGACGTAGGCGTTTAGTGATTTCGGAGCTTGTGGTTTCGGATCTAAAAGGCTGAGAATGTAAAGGGACTTCGGGATAAGCTCCTGTTCGTAGATACATTGCTGTTTCTGTTGTCGCTTGCCTTGCTTCGGGCATTGCCTCAGCCCTCAGGCATCTGCATGTCATAGCTATCTTAATGGGTTCCCGTACTACCCCCCTTTATACTACCCCCCCAGGTTCCCCCTTAATTAACTCTTAACTAGGCCTAATTATCCTTAAGTAACCCTAGTTAAGGGAGGAACCCAAGGGGAGTTGTATAGAGAGGGGCAGTAGGGGAACCCATNNAGGGTTTAGGTTTAGGGTCTAGGGGGCAGAAACGATTGGCACGATTCATGGGCAAAATCCTGCTTGACCCTACGTACCCAGACATTCGAAATTATGGTGCTATAGTTTACTGGGCTCAGGCAAGATATTTCATCCCTACTTACCCTGTAGAATCCCAAATTCCATTTCATTCTCCATCTTCCTTGCCATTTGATTCTCCGGTATCATAGCTGCCACTTTCTTTTCCATTCCCGCAACGCTCAATCCAAAAA